ATCAAGGTCTTCATATCACATGCTAGGTTTGAACAGTCCAAAATGACCCTTCCCTAAGTTCTCTTGCACATCTTATCAATTCACTTTCTATATACACAATTTAACAGTATGTTGGCCACTGTAAAGTTGCAAGTGCTGAAAATTCTTACATAGGAAAGCATTTCTAGGCTAAAGTATCAAAACTGATAAATGTAAGTACTACTAAAATGACAAACCACAAGCCTTAGCAATGATGCATCAAATATTTCCATCATATGTTTTCAGAACTACACATCCTGATGAATGTACATTGTTTTACACCCAGTAACACAATATAGCAGTTTAATTCCACAAATCTTAGCTGAACAGTCTGATACATGTTTACACTCACAACAGGCAAAAAGACCAAAACTACAAATAATTCACTATAGAATACATTTCATTTTTTTGTGTGTGTAAAGGTGCTACATTTATTGCCTGTGTGATATACACGGGATGTCTTAGCACAGGGACCACACCTTCCCCAAAAAATTCCTAGCTGAAGAAGTTCTAATGTTAGATATTGAATAAATTTGACATGGTCATGGCTCTGACACTCCTTTGGGAAACTCTCACTTCAAGTATGCTAGCTAAGGATAGTTGCACTACAGGAAAATTTGCCTGCCTATCATTCAACCACCCCATGCCTTTTCTTACAAAAGCCTGTATTTTGTACTTCTCTGAAACCTCCAGATGAGAATACTACAGGGATTATGTATGCATCATACTTAAGAATTTCGAAATTTCAGTTTCTTAAATACCGAGGCTTCAATTTTAGGCCAACAGCACATCCTAGTGGGTACTCACACTATTCCATGGCTTTTAAACTACACTTCAGTCATAGCTGCATAAATACTCTTGTGACATCCTTCAGTGCATGCACTTTTCTTCCTTCCCTATATGGAATAACAAATAATGAAGTCAGGATTTTGGAAGTGTGTGCCAATTAATAAAATTGAGATAATTCAGGAACACAGAAGACTTTACAATTGGTTCCATGTATCTTTTAAGCAAAAACGTGCTTCTGAATATGCATAATTTTAACCAATTTTAGGCAACGAACGGTAGTGTAGTTTGTTCTTTTGTTTTCATTTGCCAATAGGAAAAAACAACTTTAGTTTCATAGGGGCAGATTTACCTGGCAAATATGAGCTCAGTAATATGTGCATATTACTAAGTACTAGGCTAAATAATAACTAATCAATAAAACTATATATTTACTCATCAAAAATGCATCTATTACAGCTTTTTAATGAGTGGCTTTGCCAGTCAAGCATGCAGTACAATCAGAGAGCTGTCTGTTGAACCAGACAAAAATCAAGAGAAAATGGAAAGCAAATGCTGTTTAACTCTGTCACGTTTTGTAATAGTCCCATTTACAGATTTTTAATGACTTCATATGAGAAGGGTTGTGAAGTAGGGGACATGGGCATGGCAAATATTCAAGATATTTTCTCCCAGGTAAGTTCACAATTTTGCATAGCTGCAAACCCTTTCAGCATATTTCTCACTCTCTGGTATTGTCATGTTTATAACATGTATTTTCCATAGGAAAGATGAGGTGACCTGTGTGTCTTTTAAAGAAGCAGGCCTGTGAATGCAGTGCTGTATCTTTAACAGGCTCTGTAAGCTGAAATTTGGTGAAAGGGGATTTGGGGGACACCTTATGAGGAGCACTTAAGAACCCCATGACTGTGTAGAGAAACAGAGGCTGAAGGGTGACCCTTTAATCTCTAAAGTTTCCTGAAGAGGGGAAGTAGAAAGGGATGTGCTGATTTATTCTCCCAGGCATCCAGGGATATGACAGCTGGGAATGGTTCAAAGCTGCATCAGGGCAGGTTTAGACTGGACATCAGGAAGCATTTCTTCACCAAGAGAGGAGTGAAACACTGGAACAGGATTCCTGGTCAGTTGATCGATGCCCCAGGCCCATCAGTATTTCACAAGTGTCTGGACAAGGCCTTTAATAAAATATTTTAACTTTTGGTCAGCACTGAAGTTGTCAAAGAGATGATTGTTGTAGGTCCCTTCCACCTAAAATTATTCTATTCTATTCTATTCTATTCTATTCTATTCTATTCTATTCTATTCTATTCTATTCTATTCTATTCCATTCTATCATTTGTCTGCTGAATATCTGCAATAATCAGCAGGCAGCACACTTCTGCTACAGAACCTGATACCATGAAGGAAGGAAGGCAGTGACCATTCTATGCTCAGATTCACATATTTCTTCCCCCTTCTTGAATCAGTTTCAGTTGTTCCAGGGCAATTTTATCACCTGATAAATTTTTGGTTTCTTTGTTTATGGTTAAAGTGTTTAAAATCATTATATGAGAGAAAAAGATTTTCTGCTACTATTATGTGGCTTTTCCAAAGGCTCCGAAATCAGAAGTCAGTGAAAAGGATCCCCATTTTTTAGTTCATGGTCTTCTGCTGCCTGACTCACGTTCCAGTGCTAACGTCTTAATTTGGCTGAGAGGAAAAGCTGCCCAGGAATAGTGCCTGTGCCCCACCTACAGGCGAATCCACCATTCCCTCCAACGCTGTGCAGGTCTCAAAATTCCCTCCTGAGAAGGGAGTGAAAGAAGGGAGAGGCTGCAGCACTCTGAGCTTTGTTAGCAACCCCAGCTGGGTACATACGCCGTGTTTCAAAGCTGTAGTTGCAAGGTGAGAGGTAACAGAGGGGTTTTTGTCAGTCCCCAAACATTTCCTAAATGAGCATTGACAGTGGCTGTTACAGCAGCTACAGCCTAAGCAATGACACTGCCCACTTCTCTACCAGAAGTAGAGATTATTTTCTGGAATAATTTCCATATCAGTGTTCAGGAATCCTTGCTGTAAATAAAACAGTTAATATAAGGAATTCTCAGTAAAAAGCTATTAACTTCTCAACGGTACAGGAGAAAAGGTGCTCTTCAGTTAATACTATTTGCTATAAATAAATACATTTTTATGCTTAATGAAAGCATTTTTAGTTGGAAGGGACCTCTGATCATGGTCCACATGACAGTTTTCTTTCTTCACAGATGGTGGGGTATGGGAGGGATTTCTATAATCTTTGTCAGGGCTGAAAAATTTTATTGCAGAGGTGCTGAGCAGCAACTTTTCCCACCATATTTGTCATATTATATGGCAGCAATCTTATTCCCACGAATGCCATAATCCAAATGGTTGAGGTTTGAAAGGAGGCAGCTAAAAAGTCCCCAGCCAATTAACATGCACAAATCTGAGTGACCAAGAAAACAGAGAAGCTGCATCTAAAGTTACCACCCAAACCACTGCTTACAGATGCTTCTAGATCCAAAACCCAGTCACTCCCTTCCATGTTCACCCCCAAAAGAAACAAGGAAGTAATCTGAATGTGGTGGCAGCATTTCCCTAACAAAGATCAATTTCTTCTGACTGGTGACAATGATGGAAAGGAAAAAAGAAAACGAGTTCTTACATCTGTTCTTACATGAGTTTTTACATCTCATTCAGTTTTAATAAAATGAAATAAAAATGCCTTGGAAAGGTGGGTGGTGTGAGTAAGCACCAGAGAGGAAAGTAGACTGATCAGGTGTTTGCTGTTGGATATCAAAGAGCTGACAGTAAGACCACAATAATTGAGGGGAAATCTGTCATTTTTCACTGTATGAGAATTAATCCTTACTGTCCACCTCACAGGGAAATTATGATCAGGCAAGAGGGACAGCCCAGTTATAACCATGAATCTGCACTTGCTTAACACAAAGTAAGAACAAAAAATGATGAAACCTATGAAACAAATGGCAAACAAATAAAAATATAATTAATTAATAATAAATACCACATAATTTTCCAACCACAGTTATAGTCTATTTTCTTTGCCATTTTAATTTAGTAAATTTTTAATAGAGTTCCATAATCCCAGTTTATTATATTTCGACATAACTCTCCTTTAAATAAATTTGAAATTCATGAGAGCAGAATGTACATAATGACTGACACCAACAATAATTCACATCAGTCTTTCCAGTAGCAGGGAATGCTGCTAATACAGCTGTTACCTGCAAATTCTGGGCAGTAGCTTTGTTACTCTTGCTCTATTAGAAGCCCTAGAGTTAGTGAACTCTGTCCATTTGGTTTTTACCAATATTTCACAAGTAGCTTCTGGCTGAAAGCCAGGAGGAGTATGTGTGTTCTGGAGATGGAATCAGCGCCACGCAGTGCTGCTCACTGACAGCCCCTCACAGACAACGCCTGGGGAACTGCCCCCTTCTCTTGGATGTCAACTACAACAGGAATAACAGGTCCTGCTCCTCAGCACCTCTTCATTCATGGGGATTCCTCCAGCACGTTTTAGTGACACCACAAAATGCAGTAAAACCTGCATTTGCCTCCTGGCAGGGAGCTGCAGTTCTTCGGACATCAGGCAGCGCTATCACCCGAGGGCCCGTGTTTGCCACTGACCACTACGGGCTGGCAACTCAGCAGCCTTTACACGGCACTTCCAAAGCAAAGGAAACAAACTCCGACACTTGAAGTTTAACACCTATTTCGCATTATTTCGCAATTACTGCGCTGTTGCAGTATTGGTGCGCCCGCGGGAGCTTTCCCGTCCCGGCTGTGTGGCAATGCTGGCACCGTGAGGCGCGGCTCCGCGGGCACTGCGCGCCGCGGGCGGCTCCCGGCCAGGCGCCGCTCGGGGCAGCTGGAGCAGCCGCTCTGGGTTAGCCGGCCCTGGGTTAGCCGGCCCTGGGTTAGCCGGCTCCGCTTTAGCCGGCTCCGCTTTAGCCGGCTCCGCTTTAGCCGGCTCCGCTTTAGCCGGCTCGGCGGCCATTCCCGCGCATTCCCCGGCTCCAGCCGCTCCGGGAAGGCGGCACAGCCCACAGCCGGCGGGCGGGGGGTGCGGCTGGAACACACCAACCCTCCGCTCCCCCCGGTGGGCGGGGCGGAGGTGATGGGCAGCGCGCGGAGCCAATCAGAGGGGCCACCGGGGCGGGGCAGCCGGAAGCGGCGCCGGGCGGAAGCGCCGTGGGGGCGTGAGCGGGGCAGGGCAGGGCAGGGCCGGGAGCGCCGGGGCGGGACCGGGCCGAGCCGGGATACGGGGCGCGACCGGGATACCGAGCCCAGGCACGGAGCCCAGGCGGCGGCCCCGCCGGTGATGCGCGCTCCGCAGGGGCTGCCGGCCCGCTGAGGTCGGTGCGGGCAGCGCCGGCGGCGTTGCCGCGGCCATGCCGTGCACCTGCGGGAACTGGCGGCGATGGATCCGGCCGCTCGTGGTGCTGCTCTACATCGTGGGGCTGCTGGTGGTGGTGCCGCTCTGCGTGTGGGAGCTGCAGAAGCTGGAGGTGAGGGGCGCGGCCGGGGGGCCGCTGGCAGCGGGCTCGGCCCCGGGCGGGGGGCGGCGGGGAGATGTGTTAGCTCGTGGGGAAAGTATAAAAGTATAAAAGTATCGAAATCACCGGTGCCGGGAGGATGCATCCAGGATCTGCTCGGTGGTGCCCAGCAATAGGACAAGAGGCAACAGCAGAAACTGATGCCCAGGAAGTTGCACCTGAATATGAGGAAGAACTTCTTTGCTGTGCAGAGACCACACACTGGAACTGATAGCCCAGAGAGACTGTGGAGTCTCCCCTGCAGAACATATTCAAGAACCATCTGGACACAATCCTGTGACTCTGCTTGGGCAGGGAGGTTGGACCAGATGATCCACTGTGGTTCCATCCAGCCTGACGCATTCCCTGAAAGGACAGGCTGGAGAAGTGCCATGGTGCTGCTGGGCTCATTTGTCCTGCTGCTGAAGCCCTAGTGAACTTCAGAGGAGCAGGGCAGTGTTTCTTTCCCCTTCTGTTTCCATAATAGTTGGTGTTTGAACAGCTGGTACAATTCTGAAGAAATTCACGTCAGCCAAGAGTCTCAGAGTGACAAGTTTGGGTCAGGTTGGAGGGGACCACAGTGGATCACCTGGTCCAGCCTCCCTGCCCAAGCAGGGTCATCCCTGCACATGGCACAGGATTGTGTCCAGACTGTTCTTGAATATGTTCAGCAGGGGAGACTCCCCTCCCTCACTAGATGTGTGAGTGATCTGTCCCAGTGCACGGTCCCTGCACAGTAAAGGAGTTCTTCTTCATGGTCAGGTGAAGCTTCCTGGCCATCAGTTTCTGCCCATTGCCTCTTATCCTATTGCTGGGCACCACCAAGAAGAGTCTGGCTCTCTCCATAAGTTCATCCCAGAACACAGATTTTGAAACTTAGTTCTCATGCTGGCATTCACAGAGGTATTTCTGTCTGTTTTGGGAGAATTTAATAGAACATCTCTGTGGGTAGAGAAGCTCCTCTTTCATGCTGGTGGTACTGTAACTGTGGTGTGTGAATTACACACACGTGATCACATCGCTTCTCTAGCAAAAAGTAAAATTTTAACCTTAAAATATCTGCATTGTTCAATGTGGTAGAGGCCCTGGAGGTAGGCTTTTTCAGGGTGTAATTTTCAGGACTTAATGACAGTAAGATCTGTCTTGACTGTGTTTAACATTTACAGGTTTGAACTCCTGATGCATAATGCATGTTCAGCATAACAGATGTTTATATCTAAGTCTGATACTTGTAGAGAAACTGATCAGAAGTAAAACTAGAAAACAACAGGAGAAATGGGATGTCGATGTAAAGTAGGGGATCAGAGAAATGATTCTCATCAAAGGAAACTGAGAAGAGTCTCCTATGTTTCTCAGGTTTGGGTATTTAGGATTATTAGTTGCTTTTCAGAGAGCTTTGGTTTAAAATTTCAACCCTGTGTTTTAGCAGACATTGAGGTTTTATGTATCTACATGCATATCTATTTCAGTTTGTTAAATGAAAACTAATTGATTACTATTTGGAACTTGATTTTAAAGCTAAAAAGACTTCAAATCCACAAGTTTTCATAAACTTTATAATGCAGCACTGAATCAAGACAAGTTCCATACGTAAAACAAGGAATCTGTTTTGGGTTTCAGTAAATTAAGTACTGGGCATTACTCTGCTTTTGTGGAATGTTTTGTGTACTTGTAATAACTTGATGGTATTAAGACTGAAACTTTGATCTTGCAAGGTTGGAATTCATACCAAGGCATGGTTTATTGCTGGGATATTTCTGCTAATGACTATTCCAATATCTCTCTGGGGGATACTACAACACTTAGTCCATTATACTCAACCTGAGCTACAGAAACCAATAATAAGGTAATATTTCATGTTTTACCTATGCTACAAATATTGTATTTAACTCAGGCTAAAAATACTTCAAGTAACCTGAAATGTTCTTTTATTGTTGTAACAGGATTCTGTGGATGGTGCCGATTTACAGTTTAGACAGTGTAAGTGTTCTCTTACTGTTACCAGCTCAATCAAATTCTGTTTGTTGTGGGTGTGAGGGAAAACAGTGCCAGGCAGAAACTGTGCTGCATGGAGGGGGTAGTCCTGGAAACTACTGGGCATTCCTGTTTATGTCAGAAGCATAGTTCTAGTCATACCACATTCTTCTTCTGGAGATTTGGGGTTGCTTTTGATAATCTTTCTTAACCCTGTACTTGGGTATCCTTTGTGATGGATGTGGAAGGGGGTATGACAGGAGCTTGCTTTTGGCCCTTCCATCTTAACAGCAGAAGTGGAAGGGCTGATCCAAGAACTGCCTCAAAATTCAGTGCTGTGCCTTCCTTACCCAAGTTAGGCTTACTACTAGAATTCTTTCCTGAGTTATGGTTAGTGCTAAAATGATTCCTTTTTGGTTCAGGGGACAAAGGATAACATCCTTGGTGCAGTACAACAGCATTGTGATAGTCAGAAACTGAGAACTCTGACAGTTGATCCATAACCACAGTTTCACTACAAATAAAAAATCCAGTTTTGGTCTGAAACTCAGCTGTGTGTGTGATTTTGTAGCTGTAGCACTGCTCTCCCCTTAGCCCAGTGCCCCCAGCCCTGTTGATCAGTGCCTGCTGGCTCAAGAGCTTGCTGAACCAGTGTTGTCTTTCTCGCACATAACCTTTTGTGTACCTCTCTTCTTGCAGTGGATAGCTTTGAAATACCCCAAGATTGCAATATATGTGGATACATGTCGAGAATGCTATGAAGCTTATGTCATCTATAACTTTATGGTTTTTCTTTCAAATTACTTAACCAACCGGTACCCAAACCTCGTGTTAATAATAGAAGCGAAAGATCAGCAGAGACATCTGCCCCCTCTCTGTTGCTGTCCGTCGTGGGCTATGGGAGAGTGAGTATATCATGACATCTTCAAGATTTAGGCTGTGTAGGCAGATCCAAACATTTTGTTTTCATATTTAGCAGCGTAACATTTGCTGCTTGATGGAGTGAGTTTATGGTTTGTGTGTGTTTGATCAGCTGTGAGCCTCTGCTGAAAGCAGCTGTGGATGAGTGCCAGTCAAGCTATAAAACATCCTGTGAACTGGACTTAGTTACTAACATGCATTGACTCAGGGAGTGCTGAAGGAAACTTTCTTATTTTTCAAAAATACTAAAACAAGGTCTCCTGGAATTTGCTTATTTTGCTATTTGCCAAAAATCTCATGTGGAATTTGGAGTAGACTGAGTAGCCTGATGTTTTTACTTCAGGTGAAGGGTGAAAGGCCTTATGCATCTAAACTGTTTATTTCTGAATGCTTCACTGATAAAATATCTCTCTCAGGAGATTTTGATTTTTGTTTTGATAAAGCTGTTTGGGGTGAGGGGAAGGGAAGGTGGGCTTCAGCTTCTTTATACAGTCACAGCTTCTTTATACAGTTTGCCATACTGGGCAAAGAGCTTTGGTTCTCTTAAGTGTTTAGGGAAATTATTATGATTTTTAAGTCTCTTATATTTATACATAGTTTTTCTTACATCTTCAAACCCAGCAAAAATTGCATTCTCTTTGTTTAGCCCAGCCAGAAGCTTTTCATGACTAAAATAAGTGAATCATTGAATATTTCCTGTAATGTGTCTGTAAAAATCCAGCTCTTCTGTGTATTTTGTGTACACACACCATATGATGCAACATCTTAAGTCCTGGATATAGAAGTTCAAATTACCATACAATTAAAATTTACCTTAGTAAATCTACTGAGAATATCAATCATCCAGAATTGTATTTAAATCCTTGTACAATGAATTTTGTGTTTCTCTTTCAGAGTTTTATTATTTAGATGTAAACTGGGTGTTTTGCAGTACACTGTTGTCAGACCATTTACTACCATTATTGCTTTGTAAGTACACTGATAAATAATTAATATTGATCTTCAGGATATGATTTTGAGTTACACTGGAAAGAATTTTCATGCCCTTTGTATTGGATCAAGGCAGTTTGAAAGCAGACTCATGTTGCATGCTAAATGGGTCCCAACAATTTGAATCAACTTATGATTTCTTTATGGCTTTTCTATAGCAAATGACTATTTGCAGAATTGAAATCATAAATACTTAATGCCAGCTTCTGTAATCAGTGGGATAGAATGTGAAGTACTGTTGGGGTGGGAAAACATTTTTTATGATCTCTTAATTTTTAGATACTTTATTCCTCCTCCCGTTTTTTCATTGACTTCAACAACTGAGAATTTTTAAAGGCAGGTTTCGTGTAACTTCTAAATTTTTTTAAACTTCACATGTGACAAGCTTGACTGCGTGCCTTCATATCCTACAGCCTGTGTTTGTAAAGGAACAGTAGGCAGTCAGGCATGATGATGCTGAAAGCTTAATTTCATTAGCTTTGCATTGATGGTCATTACTGTTAATTCTGTGGTACTGTGAAAAAAAATTTGCTACTCACAATGAATATCCATATAAATATTTCTATTTTATATATATATAAATGTGCTGTTGGAAACTGATTCTTGTGCAGGCCCACAGTGCCTTTATGTGAGTACCAGAAGAGGTTTTGAATTGTAAGGATTGATTGTTGTAGTGAAGATGTAGCACTTGAGAGAAGTGATCTGTTACTCCACAGTGATTAATTCTAAAAATTCTTTCAGAATTTGTGAACTGGTGGGAGTGTATGATGAAGGAAACTTCAGCTTCAACAATGCATGGACTTACCTAGTTATACTTAACAACATGTCACAGCTAGTGAGTATCAGGAGTACATCTTTCTGCTCTTGGAATTCATCAGTAATATGTGAATCTTCTATGTGAACTGTTGGCAGTGATTGTGTAAATGTCTGGTAATTCTTACAGGTAGAATATTTTCTGTTTTGAGTCAAAATTGCTGTCTGTTAAATATTATGTGTGAAAAACACTGGAAAACCAGATCATCTAAAACTTTGTTGTTTTTACTATGAAGCTCCATAAAGTAAGCACCTTTCTACCCCAAATTATTTGATGGGTCAGGTGGTATGGCCCAGGCATTAGAGCTGCCCCTCTCTGGTAAGAGATGACTCCACTTGCCCCCAGAGCTTCCTCCCAGCACTCATACAAAGAATCAATATGTTAAAAGTTCTGTGTTAAGAATGGTGGTAACATTCACAGGAAAAAAATGAAAATGGTGTGTGCAGTGCTAGGAGTCTGGCCTACCTAACACCTTTTTTTGTTGGGTTAGCTGTCAGGTAATGTCAGGGTAAGATGTCAGCCCCTAAAATTGAGAGTTTCATTTTGGAGTCCATGGATTGCTTTTACTTCTCCTGGCAACAGCAGCAGGAGTCAGAACAGTGTAACAACTGGGATCACTTGGAAATTCTGTCCTCCTCTTGCTGCCACCCCTATTCGATGGGTGACTGTCACAGAAGGAGCTGTAATTGATTTCTGCTGTGACAGCAGTCCCAACAGCAGCACAAACTTCTGTGTCCTGGTTGAAATGATTGGAATTCCAGGAATTAAAAAAAAAGTGTTTTAAAACTCTTAAAAAAAAAAAAACGGGTAGCATTTTATCTCATGCTATATACATATTTTAACTGTATAGATGGTGTAACACAACTCCCTCACAAAATAAACATGGATTTGAAAGCTTTCATTAATTTCCTTTTCCTTGTCAGTTTGCCATGTATTGTCTGGTGCTGTTTTATAAAGTACTGCGTGAGGAACTGAACCCTATCCAGCCTGTTGGCAAGTTCCTTTGTGTGAAGATGGTAGTTTTTGTTTCTTTCTGGTAAGTGGATTTTTTACTTGTTAGTTCTTGCTCTCAGGGCAGATCATAAAAGAGCTAAAAAGGCTGGATTTTTTACTGAAGTTGGAGGGCTTAAAATGTCTACCCATAATCTTAGTGAGCTGCAGTGAGGGGAAAGGATACTACTGTGTTGGAGAGAGCAGTCTTGTTCACTTAAGATTATTTTTTAGACTTTGTCTTTTGTTAGGTGATTCTCAGGAACATAACTTATTTTAGAATCTTTAATTGCAGTTATTTCAAAACTATTTATTTTTTCCTTTTAAAAGTAAAAAAAATACTTTTTCAAAATAAGTTACTGTAAGTTAAATAAAAATTGCTGTTTGAGCATTGCTCACACTTAGCTGCTAATGAGGGAGTGTATTTGACTATCAGAGCATTACTCTCTGAGCTACAGCAACATCCTGAAAGAGAAGGAACTTGTTCTAATGACTAACTGGAGCAACAAACTCTTCTTTAGTTCTCTGTTCTTTGGTCTTTAGGGTCAGGGATGAATGACATCTCTTGTTAAGTTTGTTTCCTCCTCTTAAAATCTAAGTATATAAACAGAAAAGGTTTTTTTTTAAGTTCTTCCTATGTATACATTTGACCAGATTTGCTTGCAGATTTTTGGCACTACTGTTACAATTCTAACACAAATACTTCTTGCAATAAATTCTTTTTATAGGCAGGCTGTGCTCATTGCATTGCTGGTGAAAGTTGGTGTTATTTCTGAGAAACACACCTGGGATTGGCAAAGTGTGGAAGCTGTGGCTACAGGCTTACAGGTAGGAGCAGATGGTTATCTCTGGGGAGAAATTGTTATATGTAAGATGACATAGCTGATCTCAGGGAAATACTTGGAAATACTCAAGGAAATAACACAGGCTTGATTAGTAATGATTTATTCTAAGCTGGGCTAAGTTTCAGCCAATGAGCCCATGTGAGTTTTATGCTTAACCTTTCTATATCCATGGCAGAGGGAATGGGCCCCAGTAAAATATGTCTGGATGGCCTTGCATTTCTTCTTGCAGGTATTCATTGTAGAGCTGCTGCTTGTTTAATTATCTGTTTAAGAGAAGTTCTGTATGTATGTGCCGGGG